CATAGTCTCATTGCTGATCAACAAGGACTGACTTAGTGCCTATCACTGCGAAGCTAAGATTATTTTTCCCCATACCCATCACTTTACATTTATCTACATAGAATTTCATCTGCCCATTCCTTGCCCAGAAACTCAGCCTTATAATGTCTTTACAGTCAATCCGCTTCCTTACTAATCTGAAGAGCTTATCATAAGCAAAACTGATCACCTCACTGCTCATCCCCTTTGCCAGATCATCTCTTAAAGTGTGGGACAGCACAAGTCTTAGCATGGATTCCATCCAGTAGTGACTTCTCTTCATTCTATGAGTACGTCAGAGACTTTGCCCTCTGTTTCCTATTTTTAACCATGCTAGGATCTTCTTTCTTATCCCATGGCTGTACAGTTTCCTGTGAAGCCTTTGGAAATCTAATCTAACCAAATAGAATCACAATTATCACAGTGTTTATTTACCCCTTCAAAGAAATGAGTTTTCTGAGGCAAAACCTCTGTTAATAGAAACCATGTTGACTTTTCCCATGGAAATCTTTCACATTTATCAGGCATTCATTGATTCAGTTCCCTATTACATTGTCTATTAATTTGCCTAGTACAGACATCAAATTTGCAAGAGTGCAGTTCCTTAGATAACCTTGTGGAAATTGTTGCAAATAATGGCACCATGCTTGTTAGCTTCCAGACTTCAGGCACTAATGGAAGTTTAAATGAATTATATAGTGCCATGAGTAATTCTGCTGTTTCTCTTGAAAGCCATGAGTGAATGTCACTCAGTTCTGGTGATTCGTTAGTATTCATTCTGGATGTCTGCGACACAATTTCTGTCATGGTTATTTAATAGGAGAGATGCTAGTCTTTCTTTGATTTCATTTCTCCTAATTAAATGACTTTCCAAATTGTATTCTCTATTGGGATTGTTAATTCACTTCTAGGAGAATCATTGTAATAGACCAATTACGATAGCAAATATAAGTGCCATACTCATAATTAATAGATTTATACTTCTTACTGCTTCTGCTTCTTCCTGTTCTTTCTTTTATATTACCCATGAATGTATTTATGATTGCATACTGTGCAGGCTCCATGCGCCTTTATGGCAAATGTAGCTCAATTGATCAGCTCCAGGGTTAACCTCACAAAGCTTAGGCCTTCTTCAATCATTCCTCCAAATCAAAGCTCTCAAACTTACCCTAAACCTGACTGGGATCAAAAAACTCTTTGGCTATCCATCATACAGTTACATTACAGTAGGTCAGATTAAGAGGGTGTCAATGAATTTACCAATGTGTCTGAGGAAAATAAAGAGGACAGATTTCTGAGGATTACAGACCCTGTCCTGGAGTAGTTGTTAGAATCTTTTATCAGGATTCTCTGAATCCCAGATTTCAGGAGGAAGCCATATAGTAATTTGTTTTTCCTTCAACAACACAGAAAATTAAAATGCATTTCCTTTTGTGCAACTAGCTCAATAACCTCAATTTCTGGCTGCTTCTCTTGATGGAGCAGTAAAAATCTGATTGTGTCACAGAACAACAGAATGGTTTAGGTTGGAAAGGACTTCAGAAGGCCATCTGATCCAAATCCCCTGCTAAGACAGAGATACCTAGAGCCAGTGGCCCAGGACCATGTCCAAGTGGCTTTTGAAGATCTCCAAGGAGGGAGACACTACCACCTCTCTGGGGCACCACACACACACACAGACACTCACACGTTCAACTTGATGTGCACAAGGTCCTTTTCTGTCAGGCTGCTTTCCAGCTGGGTAGCCCCCAGCATGTATCAGTGCATCAATGATACAGGTTCTATTTCATGTTGTCCTGCTAAGAGAAGACAGATTGTACAAATAGGCAAGAACATATGGAAGAACATCATCATATGAATGGAGTTGGCCTGCAGGAATAAAATGGCTAGAGAATCACATAGACATGAATTGAATCATGCAGGAAATCATGATGTTTGATAATACAGCACCACCACACATAAATGCATTATGGTTCTATGCAAAATGTTGTTTTTTCTACGAGAAGACATTTTTATTCTGTAAGCATTTATAAGAGTAGAGGTCAGGGATAAAATTACAGCTTGACTGGGAATGCTTTCCTCTCCATCATCCATTTACAGCTGATGAGATACCACCTACACGCATCTTTAGAAAGATGTGATAACCACTTCTCCCCTGGCAATACTTTAGATCTTTTTTTTGCCTGATAGATAAAATAGGCATGTTTTTGTTGTTGTTGTTTTGTTTCTATGAGCATTTTTGAGTTTTACTTAAGAAACATTAAAAAAAAAAAAAGAAAATCACTTATCTGACACTATTGCCTGTTGTGATACCTCTCATTTCACTGTGTTTGTGCATGCTTTGACCACTGCTGATGCAGAGCTTGCTGTGACAGTCTCTGTGACAGTGGGAACCAATGTTGATACATTGTTTGGTTCCTCAATGGTGTTTCTGCTGTTCACTTTAGTATGAAGCTTATGGCTGGGTAACTTTTTCTTATCCTTGCTTTCCTCCTTTGAATATAGAATATTTCCTTTGAATATATCCTTTGAATATAGAAGATATTCAAAGATCACCTGGAATGAAAGAAGAAGTAAGAGAGATGAACCAAACAGGCAAGTGGGGTCAGGTTCAGACTGCAGTTTGAAATAAGGCACCTTAGAGAACACTTTGTAAGATAAACAAAAGGAGCATGTGAACTCTGATTTGAAACTGAGACAGTTTCAAGCAACTAGAAAGATATCAGAGTGGCTGGAAAGCTATGCAGAGGAAAAGGATCTGGGGGCATTGGTCAATGCTCACCTGAACATGAGCCAGCAGTGTGCCCAGGTGGCCAAGAAGGCCAACAGCATCCTGGCTTGTACCAGGAATAGTGTAGCCAGCGGGACCAGGGAGGTGATCGTGCCCCTGTGCTCTGCTCTGGTGAGGCCGCACTTCAAGTACTGCGTTCAGCTTTGGGCCCCTCACTACAAGAAGGACATCGAGGCCCTGGAGTGTGTCCAGAGAATGGCTACAAAGCTGGTGAAGGGCATGGAGCATAAGTCCTGTGAGGAGCGGCTGAGGGAACTGGGGTTGTTTAGTCTGGAGAAGAGGAGGCTCAGGGGAGACCTTACTACTCTATACAGCTGCCTGAAAGGAAGGTGTGGAGAGCTGGGGTTCTGCCTCTTCTCACAGGTGATAGGACTAGTGGGAATGGCATCAAGTTGTGCCAGGGGAGGTTCAGGTTGGAAATTAGGAGACATTTCTCCTCAGAAAGATCAGTCAGGCACTGGAACTGGTTGCCTGGGGAGGTGATAGAGTCACTGTTACTGAGGGTGTTCAAGGAAAGGTTGGACATGATGCTTAGGGACATGGTTTAGTGGGTGACATTGGTAGTAGGAGGATGGATCTTGGAGATCTTTTCCAATCTTAATTATTCTAATTATGTAATGGTATTTGAGGCTGTGATTAGAGATCTTAGGATGAGTGATAGGGAACAGACAAGCTCATATAACCACTGTTAACAGCACTGTCACATTGTCAATAGACAAAAACTAATGCTGTGTTTTGAATTACTGTACTTTCTTCATTCAGCAAGAGACATTCCACTGCAGCTAGTAAGGGAGCAGGGTCTGGCCTTTTTCCTAAACTTTGTCTCATTGCTCTATTTCAGTGGGGTTGTGAAGCAGGCAGAATGCATTCCCTGTGGATACATTCTGTGTAAAGGGACTTACCTTTGTGGCTGCCAAGTCAAGGAGCAAGCACCATATGTCAGGAATAATTTGGAGATTAACAAAGAGCATTCCCAGCTGCTGTCAGGTTGATGAGGCAAGCTAGCTCTCCAGGGAAGCAGCAACACTCAAAGAAGTGTCTGAGTCAGCTTCAAGTTTGCCCAGGTTTCCAGCAAGACCCAGAATCTATGAGACACAAAGGTACCTCAGAGATACTTTTGAAAACATCTTTTCTTGGATGAAGGCTGGAATGCAGCCAGATATCAAATAGAAATAGAGAAAATCTTTTGAAATACATCTGTTGTTTGGTATTTGTAAAGCCATAAGACAAAGGGAGGGACACAGGCAGTAGCAGCAGGTGTGAGACACACACTCTTCCCCTTACCCATACTTTGATGGAACATTGAGTGGCCTTGACTGCTCTGTCAAAGAATAAAGGGACGACCATTACAGGACTAGGAGGAGGACATACCAAGTTATCTTTACATCTTTACATGTGACAGGATGTGGTGTTTTCACATGGATGGTCAACCGAACTCCAGCACACCTCTCTCTCACTCCCCTTCCTCGAAGTGTGTGTGGGGAAATATGAAGAGGAAAAAAAAAAAAGGGGGGGGCTCACAGTTTGAGATAAGGGTTATAAGGGTTATTTAACTAAAGGAAAAGACACATAAAAAAAAAAAAAAAAAAAAAAAGACAAGCAAAGGCCACGTGGAAGCAAAAAGAGGGAAAACAATTATTCTCTACTTTCCATTAGCAGGCAATGTTTATCCACGTCTTGGGAAGCAGGGCCTCAATACCCATAGTGGTTGTTTGGGAGGACAAACGTTTTCATAAAAAAAGCACTTCCTTCTCTTTCCCCTTTCCCACCTGGAATATCCCTTTGGTCGGTTTAGGTCAGCTGACCTGGTGATGTCTCCTCCTCCACTCTTGCCACCCCCAGCCTGTTGGTTCTGGGTTAGAGGGAGTCTTGATGGTGTGCCAGCACTGCTCTGCAATAGGCAAAACTCTAGTGTGATTGCAATGCTGTTCTAGCTACAAGTTCAGAGCACAGCACTGTATGGGCCACTGCAGGGAGAGTTAACTCCAACCCAGTCAGACCCAGTTTACTGGTGTTCAGTGCAGTACTGCAACAATCACCTCCGAGGAAGAAAAGGTGTTCTTCAGCAAGTGGCTGCCAATTGTCCTAAGAAAGCCGTACAGTTGTATTAATCCCACATAAAATACTTCATATGGACATAGTAAAGTACCAGAGAGCAACCAGTCTTTTTGACATGAAAAACACACAACACTTTAAAAAATATTGGTTTTATTCATATATCCAGCCTATTCAACAGTGGATCACACCGACAGGAACAATCACAAATACCTAGTTACATGGTTTCATTGGGTTCTGGCCTTTGCAAGATTGGGTTTGAGTTAAGCATATATTATGGCAACACCAATAAGGACAATAATTGCTTTTCAAAGCTCAGTTGAGTCCCATTTCATTGGTCAGCTTTCAAGCCCAATACCCTCTTCTCTCACAACATGTGGGTTCTGCAAAAAACTTGTCTCAAAGTCTGAGTCCAGAAAACAGCATTTTCACTATTCCATCTAAAAATTCTGTTTCCTTCACATACTTTATTTGAAAGGCTTCAGGTTTTCAGTGCAGCCAACAACAACAACAAAAAAACCTATCATCCACAATTTCTCAGAAATGTTGGACTAGACTTGTATAAATCAGCCTGGCTCCAATGAGGGCACTGGAAATACTTTCGTCACCACATGACCTGGCCTGCAAATCCCAACTGTTTTCCTTTAAATAACGTCTAGGAGTTAGATTTCACAGCAAAAGCAAAAGGGTCCTGCAACCAATATCCACGCTGTTTGTAGTGGCACACAGTATCACCTAAAGTCTCTGATCTGCATGCCATGCATCTGAAGGCTCACAGACTTCTGCAGCAGGCAGCCTACACTTTGTCTACCTCTGAAGACAACTGCCCATGCAAGAAGGGTTTGTGGCAGCTCTGGCTGCCCAATGCCAGTCATGTTGCCTTGTCACACAGATCTAAGAAGCCTCACACTGCAAGCTGTCCTGCACTGAGAGTCAGAGTAGGTCTCTGCATTGTTTGCACCCAAATAATATCAATACAGGGTGAATATTGCCTCCTAGGAACTGTGGTTTTACATCCATGCTCAAGACTACTCCGCAGACTTGCTCCATAAGTATCTTTGGATTTCCCATGTCATAGTTGCTTTAAGCCCAGTCCTATAGACACCGATTATCTTTTTGAGTCACAGGTATCCAGGAGGTCACATCTTATCAGAGGACCAGACTCTCAGTCAGCAGCCATGAGGAGATATTACAATCCTTGCTTGTTACGGGTGCCAAGAACTGTCACATTAGGAGATGCTTTCTACCTGTGCCATTGCCAAAGAGAGGAGATTCCAGGCCAGAGCATCCCTCTCTGTCCATCACTTCCCATTACTAAGTGGGTTTCCCATCAGCTTCAGCATAGTACAGCATGGGCTCACAGAGTGTGAAGAGCAACAGAGGTTTTCATCACAATGGTGCAGTGGGAAAAAACTTCAGAACATTTCCCATGAACACTGTATACAATTATATTACATTTTCAGAACTATATGGCAATTGTGCCTTCTAAATCACATGAAAGACTATAAACAGTGTTATTTCAGTGAAACTCTCTACAGCCACTGAAACTAAGTCACTACCTCCTTTAAAGCAGGCAATAGACTCACATGTTCACAAGAAGAACTAACTCCAAATACACTCAAACAAGACACTTCATAGGGAAATGAGAAATATCTCTAGTTTGGGCCCACCTCTTACATAACGCATATTATGCATGATCAGGATGATTATTATTTGTAGAGCTATGTTAAGCTTCTACCATTTATCTGAGCTATGAAAACAGTCTATAAAAGCACAGTTATCCATTGGCAAAAGACAGGCAGACAAATGGGCATGCTTTCACCAGCTATTCAGTTCTATAGAGAAAGCTTTGTGCTCTTCTAAGGGCTGACTTTACGCATTTGCCAGGACTGGGTCCTCCACTTGAAAAAAAGATTTAAAATAGGTGTCAGTAACAGAATGGTTTGGAGGTGTCCTATGTCCATTTCCAGCTTCCCACACTACTCAGTGCTTGTCTGGGTCTTTTGATTAATAGATGAAAAATTGCTGCTATTTAGACACTGGGAATTAAATTCTGTTTTATTTAGTTTTCCCAGAAATCATACACATTTGAATCTTGTAGAGGATTCTCCCTGCCTCCTTCCTCCAACCCCTGTTCACATCTAATTTCAGTTTCCTGTAACTAAGCATGCTAACCCCTTTAAAAAAAATAAGAAAACCTCTAAGCAAGGAAAGCAGTTTCCTGTCCATAAATGCTGTATTCCCTGCACAGAGGGAAACTTCACCAACACCATGAGGAGGAGATGCAACGTCTTTTGCAGCATTCTGACACAACAGCCTTGCACCATCCAGAATCCAGCCTAGTGAGACAGAAAAAAAAAAAAAGTGTTAAATGTTAAAAAATTGGCCAAGAGAAATGCCTTATTCTGAATAGATCACAGCTAAGATATGACAACCTCATGGTTAATTTTTTAATGAGAATGTTTGAAGGAAGTCAGTTTAGAGCATCTTCTCAATATTACTGTACCCAGCTTACTTTGCTTTACCATGCCACCTACTGGTATTGGTTTAATGGGGTCTTTCCTTGCATCTGCTAGGAACTATATATATCTTTTCTTGCATGAGATGAATTATGTATATTGGAATGCTCCAGAGTCTGGTAGGATGCTTTGCAGTACTGTGCTGCTCCAAGGATAGAGACCCAAAGTCTGACCATTACTGTAACTGGGACTTTACTACATTCCCATAGTCATCTTCTTGTCTAATTTTAAGTCGTCTTAAGACAATGTTATGTTCTTTATAATTTGGCCTGTAAACCTCTTCCCCCATGCCAGGGTCAGGAAAGTCTATCAGAGCAACAGAAAGATAATTTAAAAAACAAACAGACAAACAACAACAACAACAAAACAGATCTGAAACCATTTAATTAATTTAATTTAAACCATTTAATATGATATAAAACCATTTATTGAAGCAAAGAAGCAAAAACATGTTTGGCCTGTAAGGACTTTTCTTCATGTACAAATTCTGTCATATTTTGATACAGTCACTTCTAGCTGCACAAGTCCATCTGTGCTGGTGACAAATTGAACCTAAAGGGCTATTCTTAAAAATTATGAATTATTAAAAATATCTGCAGTCCTCCATAATGGGAGATATTAAAAGGGAAGATGAAGTGACTGGAATAAATGTGGCACTAGGGCCTTCCTAAATTGGTCAAAATCTATTTAAACCTGAAAGGTCAAATAATAGTTTCTCATAAAGCAAGCAATACTCCTGTTTCTTTCCTCTTTGTATGTCAACAGTACAACACCTTAATTCTGCTAGTCTAACATGCCTCTAAAAGTTTCCAGTTGCATTTTTTCTATACACAGGATGGCTTCCATATTCCTGCGACACATGGTTAGGATATGTATTAAAGTAATAATACATGTACGTGGGCTTTTGAGTTCCAAAAAACAAAAGCTTGAGACCCATACTTGATTTAATTGTATGAGTGGTGGACATGGCTAGACCTAAACTTAGGGATGTTAAGCATGTGCTGAAATGCCACAAGCAGCTCAAGCCTTGCATTGCAAGGAATTTACAGCATTTATATTTTCATCCAGCATTTTCCCATGACAATTCCATTTCCTTGTACAGGAGTGTGAAAGCAGCTTCTTCCACCATGAAGACCGTATATTCCTAGTCCTCATGCTCCCACAACTCTTGCTACTGCTCAACAATGACCAGAAAAACAAGAAAAGGCTATAAAGAGAGTGTACCAGTGAGAAAGACTTGGGCCCCAAGGATGGTCAAAGCAGTGCTACAGCCCACAGGAGAACAAAGATAGAGAGAAATATCAGAGACAGAAGAAGCCTTCAAAGTAAACAAAATTTTTCAAGAGCTCTGCATAGATTCAGAAAAGAGAAATTGGCAGTGATACATAAACTATGTAAATATTAATGCATGCATATAGAAACTTGAATATATACAAATGCTCTTACTCTCAGGTATAAGCTACATATATAATCAAGGACTATAGATAGATAGGGGTATTGGTATGTAAAATATTACAAGGAAGAATTTGTAAAATTAATTTACCTTCCAAAATGTTTTTTAGGAAAAATCCAGTTCTTCAACTGTTAGTAATGTACATCAATATACCAACTTGTCCAGTTGCTATGAGCTCACTAAGACTGTGAGAAATACCTGATTTGCAGACTAAATCTGTGCTGAGCTTCAAAGCAGAAGTCCCTCAGTGAACTTCCTTTTATGTAAGCTTTTTCCTGCAGATTTATATGTTGGAGATGGAAGCTTTCAATCCAGGGATTACCAATACTGAACAAGCTAGAAGGCTGGCTCATGGTTTTCCAAAAATGCAGAGCAACAATAACTGGACAGAGTGATTTCTTGAAGTTTGGTAAGTCAGAGACACCATCAGACTGTTTACAGGAAGAGACAGATATTTGCAGAGTTGCACTAAATTATGACAAATTATTGTATTTTACTGCGCAATCAACAATCACGGTGGGACTTACTGTTCTGATTCTACTTTTAGTTTTATATTGATGTACTTGACATGGATGCTGCTCAGTCAGTGGATGGAGTGTAGAGAATAGAGTTTACATACTCAATACCTGAGATCTCAGACCTCCTTTTTTCCATTGTGTACATTAATAGTCTAACAAATACTTAGAAATCATAAAATATTCTTCCTTATAGCTTGTTTCTGTGATCTACAAGCAAAACAAAACAAAAACATGCTCTTCTATGTTTCTAAATTTACTTAGTAAGACTCCTTAGCAGCAAACAAGGCTCTACTTGCACTGAATATATTGCATGGTTAAGGCATGTAATGTCATCTGCCTGCTTAAATTGACAATTATGTAAAACTTAAATTCAATAGCTGTAGAAATGGCCCCAGTAATTAAAAACAGACATGTCATAAATGGTTAGTCATGAGTTTAGCACGATATGTTTTCTTGTAGTGTTGGCAAATCCAAAAGCCCAAATCTAACTATTTCTGGAATATTTTTCATCAAATGTTCTAAAAAACGAAGCAACTGCAAGGATCAAACACTACAACATTAAGCAGATGTGTGAAAACATCTTAGAAAGTATAACTAATTAATGCATAGTCATTCAACATTGAAAATATTCTGAAAAACTTAAACACTATGGCAACAGGATAGCAAAACTGTCATTTTAAATCTTTCAAGTAAGCAAGGGATTAGCTAGTATAATACAGCAGTGAAGGGACTGACATGAAACCAGGGGCCAGATCCAAGTTTATAATGGTGTTTGAAAGCACCATTTAAATAAAGATTACAATCACTCACACAAAGGAAGTGATAGAAAATTTTGACTGGGCCAGAAGAATGGCAGACAGACTTAAAACAGACTTTTCTATGCCTATAATCCCACTATTGTAAAAGTAATAAAATATCTAAAAGGAACTGAAGTGAAGCAAGGCAATTGTTGAGGCACAAAATAAATGAAATACTAAGGCTATGTCAGCCTTATTCATTACTCAGTTATTGATCACTTACTATTAAATTACACTTCGATATGAGGTAGAAGAAGAGACTAAGAATTGGCCACAGACTGGCCAGTGACATTAGATGCTCAGCTTTACAAACTAAATTTCAGAAAGGAGAATACAGGTCTTGTATGGGCATCCAGAAACATGATTTACTACATTGTCACACTACATTTTTGAAAAGGTGGGCCTCAAATTTTCAAAAACGAATTTGGGATAAGTTCTCCAGAACCTCCAAACCATATTCAGGAGTCTATGTCAGGTGAAAAATTGTGATGTTCTGTACATATAATCTTTTTTCATTGAGGAACTAAAATGCAAGATAATCTCAAATCGTAACTCTAATGTCAGATAATTCACTTAAAACCTAAATTGCATAATGTTATATAGCTACACATGCAGAGAATCATATTGTTCAGGACGGTAAAGAAGAGAAAGGAGCCTCCATAGCAAAATAGATGGGAACATTCTCATTTTAGGTTATGTGAGAGGGCATATATAAGTTTGGTGGGAGGCAAATGATTAATTTTAGGGACCCATTTCTATATCCCTTATTACTCTTATTTTGGGGAGTCAGATATTGATGCTTAATTTCATAGTAAATAGCTCCTAGTCCTCAGAAAGGCTTTCTGAAAACAGTGACATTAAAAAATTGATGATGCTCTGGAAACTTCCCTGTGCAATTTTGCACACACATGCAGACACTTAGTATCTTTATGTTTTAAAATAATGCAATAATCTTCACATATATACATATACAAATATAATAAATGAAACTGCTGTCATGGAAGATCCTTGAATCCTTCTCAATGATGAGAATGAACAAACTCTCAACAACTACAAATAAACAACTACTTGGGAGCTAACTGAGATGAATTTAAGGCCTTGAGTATCTCTGTCATTCAAAAAGATTGGGGATAGTAAAAATAAAGGGAAAGTTACACGGAGTGGGTGTAACTCCACTGAAGCAATTTTTACTTGCCTCTGTTATGATAGACAAATGTGGCAACCAGGCTATTACACTGTGCATGGATAAGGGAGAGGCAATTAAACAGTTCAGATCCAATCTATTTATAGTGCCCATCCCCAAACAAGACTGACTAATGAAACCTTCGGCAGCAAAGAAAGAGCAATAGAATTGTAAAGCAAGCAATTGTATTTCAAATGGGAGGATAAAACTGCAAAATGTTCTCAGTGTTCTGCCACAGCGAAGGAAAACCGAGGTAATACACATTCATCTGAGGTATGGTTCAGGTGAAAGGTTGCAGCACTGCCCCTGCAGCACTGAGTGAATCAAAATATTCAGGGAAAATCCCAGTATACCACCATCCTTCTTCAAACTGAATACCCATTTTAACCCCACATAGTGCTGGTGATGTGTATCTCGTACCTGTATACTCTCCCTGGAAGCCAGGTGAAAATCCTTGAGGAATCTCAACTCTCAAGAAAATGTGTGTAATTCTAGCATTAACAGTTAAAATAGCATTGTTGGATTTAATGTCCTTTATGAAAATATGCAAACTTTCCTAAAAGTGGCTCACATGGTCAAGTTCCATTTTTGTTCTCTTGTTGTATGCCTAAACCCAACATAACAAGGCCAAGTACTTGTGATCATGCTGCCACCAAGCAATAGAGACTCATAAAACGTAGAAAACACTGAATTTGTCTGTGTGTGTACAGCAAATGACAGCTTCCCCCAGGCTGTCTTGGGCCTCCTCAGCACATACCAGCAGTCCATACCTCACTGCACATGTTGCTTGAAACCCCACACAACAGGTCCAGCTCTGAGCATGGCTGACAAGACATGTTCCACACTGAGCATGCTGACCACTGCTACCCTCTTTCAAATCATACCTAAAGGGGAAGAGACAGTGGTAGGTAAGCTGTCTTGTCTTACAAACAATTCAGGGGTGAGGGCAGTCACCCAGGATACCAGACACCTTGCTTCTGTGCTCTCCTTTATTGCAGCTGCCTCCCACAAGAGCTCCAAAGCCCCAGATCTTAGCAATTTGGCCACCAGGTGCTCCTGGTTTACCTGTGCTTTGCAAAGTGTTACAATTTCAAAAAGCACTGGCAGAATGACAGAGCAAAGCAAATCTCCCAAGTTGCTGGAGGAAAAATTCTCGCCAGAAAAGAAGGGTCAAAGAGATATAATATATATGTTTATATATGATACGATTTTTATAAATGATATATATATATACATAGCTCTTCAGTAGCAAAGGAAACTGCTCAAATACCTTAACTGCCGATGCAGACAACCCTCCCCACGAAAACTGAGCCTACAGGGCCTAACCCTCCTCTCTGCAAACTGCCTACACCTTACACTGAAGCGCACATCGCACATCCACGCGTTGCCTGCTGAGTACCTCCACGGCCCACAGGATGGCACTGTGCCACTCCGCAAACTGGTAACTGACTTTTGGTAGCGTTTCCTGATGGCAACTGTCAGTATGAGGTGGACTTTGTCATATCACAGGTCTTTCCTCTGAATTTCCAGGCTTTCCGGAATTCAGAGTAATTCTACAAATTCTTTCAGGACGACACACCAGCTGATCCTCTGTGTCCTTGCTCAGAAAAATCACCATCTGCTTCTTGTGGGCATTTTGCTTGAATAAAGCCCCCAAAGGGTTAACCCAGTACATACACAGCAGCCACCAGAACAACTGCTTCTTTTTGCTGCTGAGAAACTGTATTTTCTCAGCAGCCTGAAACTAATTAATAACAGTTATTGCTTGCAACATGCTTTGTATGTTCAAAATACTGTAGAAAACCAAATTCAGGTAACAGTCTTGATAATTACCACATCACTTGCATTCTTGGAACTCATGAAGACTGCAGCTATCAAGCAAGGACTGAAGAGAGCTCAAATGCTTACATGCATTTGCATGGCTACTCACTAGGCACATATACTCCAGATCAATTGTTACAGCATCATGAAGTTACTCAATCCCCTCCTATTTATGGGTCAAAGATGGGGCCAACCCACAGACATCCTAATTTGTACAGTGCATCAGGTTTCAAAGTCTTCTTTGATTCTCAATGGTTGAGGATCATCTCATGCAGGGTTTAAGTATTTCCCTTAACTCCTAAGCATCTCCTAAAGAAAATATTCTGGGATCACTGCAGTGTCAATGACTGTAAATTAAAATTCTACTAGATATACCTGTCCTTCCTTACTAATTTTTTTAAAGGATCACTAAGATCAATTTTTCAGCTTAAAGTAGCTGAGAAGATTAAGTAAATTGAGTTTTACTTGGATTGGCAACCTAAGTCTAACCTTCCTTAACAGCTTAAACTTCAACTACTACCCCTTGTTAAAACCTTGTCTCTTTCATCTTCATCACTATTTTAAATGCTTTTTTGCAGGATGCATATACCCAGGGAACCAGCAAACAAAATCACGGCAAAATATTAGAGCTGGTTTTATAGTACAGGCAAAGGCATCAGTTGCTAAGGGCAACAGCCTGCTGGGGACAGCAAAATAGCCATGGTCCTCCTGTCTTCTTTGTTCACACCACAACCCTGTGAAGCCAGGCTTCTGGGGAACTGGAAAATGCTGCCACGGTTGTGGCAGCAGCAGCAGCAGTCACCATTCCTCACCTCTCCCCTCCTCCCAAGTAGTGGCAAACAAGGCTCTCCAGCCCCTGTCTCAGCTCTCCTTTCTATCTCTCTCTTTTCCTCCCCATGGTGTACATGTAAGTCTGGCCCCACATATGCAGCAATATTTAATTTTGCCTTCACAGCTGATATACATCAGGCTGACATGGTAAAACATTAATACTGAAAACAACCACATCATGGAAAAATTGCTAAGCTTTGATGAAGTCATGGAATTTAAGAAAGCACCATGACATTGCTTCAGTTGGGTCCACATGTGGAGGTGTGATTGTAGGTGGCATCCTGCAGTTCATAAGTGCCGTATGTGCAAGGGATCACCAGAGCAATAATCATATCCAAAGATATGGAGCGTGATCACAAAGAGCAATGTAAATACAAATAGTAAGTAAATACAGACAGTAATAGTTTGTATTTAGTAAGTAAATACAGATAGTAAGCATTTAGACCTCACCAGTCCCTAAGCTGGTAATCTTGGAAGAAAGGAACTTTTGGTCCTGCTGCTCTTTCACTGTCAAATAATAATCCAACCTAGAGCAGGAATTTCAAACATGCTTGCTATTGGTCCAGTTCTGTTTCATTAACATCACCAAAAAAAAAAAAAAATTCCAATGACCACAGCAGCCAAGTGGTGTCAGCAATGCCACTGAAGCAGTGACAGCAGCAACATCACTGAAGATCATGTAAAGAGGTTCATCATCTTCTCACTTATCCTGCTTCCAGCCGTGGAAATGAGGATTCCCTTTATGGAAGTTACAGCCCAGTGAAATCAGAAAGAGGCTTACAGAGGATCTGACTGAAGGTTCCACTGTAACCAGCCGTTGAAGCTGCAAACCCCAGTCTAATCTTCCAGCTGTGCCTCACACTACTTGTGATTCCCTATAAGAAAAAGCATCGTTTACTTTATCTGCTTTAAAAAAGAGCTTAACAGTGAATTGTTGATTGTTCCTATAGATCTTTATTGCTGATAAACAGCCAAGTGCATGCTGAAGAGAGAAAGACATTATTTCCATTCTACAGCTGAGGCATAAAGAAATAAAACATCAGATTCAGACCCTGCATATGCCTGTAAGCCTCAGTCTATCCACAGATTGTTAAATCCTTGTGGCAGATCTGACAGTAAGTGCCTACTCAAAAACATTCAGATGGGAGTTTTAGCTGCTTCAAGACACTGAATTTTGAAGATAACAGGTCTCATTTCCTACCTGTACATAAAACAGAGCAGCTGAAAACTGAAACACATCTAAAACACCCTCTACCACCACCTTGCCTAGCTGGCATCAGGAAAAAAAAAAAAAAGTGTTAATGTACAGATACCAGCTGAGAATTCAGCTCCACTTGTCTGTAACCAACCCTCTGCATCAGTAGGGGTGTTAAAAATATTTCAGCCATCAAGAAAACTCTTCATGCATTGAGGTGGGCAGAAAAACATGACAATGGCCCTCAACAGAAATGTAACTGACTCAGGCACCTAAATATGTCTCATAGGACAGGAAGGAATTTGTAAGAGGTTTCATCTGGGCCTTTTCACATATGCTTGCATCTGAATCACCAATATATGACTAAATATAAAACATGAGGAGCCTTAATTGCCATCTATGTATCCTCATATTCCCCTGGAAGACCATGAAGCAACAAAAAATAGCAAAACATTTAATAAGGATTAAATTCACAGTTGTTAACAGTGCCAGTGAAAATATATTTTTTAAAATGACCTTGACAGATTCAAAGAGCAGATTTGACTGCTCAGTACCAGTGAGCTGCTACCATCCAAACCACCTTCGTGCTTGGAGAACTAATAAAAATCTAGGTGAGAGATGTTACAGGTTGTACTCCTTCCATCTTCAGCATATTTTCTTTTGTTACTTCAATACCTTGGTCCCCGATAGCAATTCAAGAGTTGAAAAAAGAAAATCTGCATAAATTTACTTCTTTTGGACTAGCTGTGAAAAGTTGATGTCAGCCTCTTATCTCTATGGTGCATTCAGCGGGCTTTCAATTTACGTTGCAATAAGTCTGCTCCAGGCTTTGTCAGCTAGAAATATTTTGCACGCCTTTAATTATAAAGCAGCCTGAAAGGGAACAGAGAGTCACAAACAAGGGGGGCTGGGCAGAATATTTTGTGTCTGAGACTGAAAAATATAAATCAGATCAGCATGGCCATGGCATTGACCCAAAGGCAACATAAAGCTAGGTAGCAGCAGGATTTTTTAGCATTTGGGTATTCTAAGAGTCTCATGCACAGGTCCAAAAGTTTTTGTGTTTGTTTGATCCATATGTTAGTTACTACTGTTATGACAGTAACACAACACAGTGTCCTTATAGAGTAGTGGTCCTCAGCTGTACCTGACATTGAAAAGGTATTAGGTAAGAGATGGGGCAAACTCAGAAAGATCTTGTTGTCTAATTTGCTTAGGAAAAGGGTGCAACAAAATGGAGGAACAACTAATACATCAGCATTTTATTGCTGAGAAATACAGGACACCCAAAGATCATGTGACCGAGCTGTAGACTGTCCCCTTGACGTTAAGCCTAGTATTTAATTACAAGATTTGCCTTATTAAGTGGTCACTAAACTAATGGAAAACTTTCCACTTTTTTCTTTTTGATGCAACTTTCTCATGAGCAGAAATGCTAGCATCAGAAGTACCAGCTGGTGTTTTTTGGCTACTTGTGTTACGTGACTGGGGGATGGATGATGGAAAGGAAAGTTGCATCATTCTTCAACACTCATCACAGCTATATCACAGCTGCAGCTGGCTTGATCAATATGTATTCAGACATCTTCTATGGAAATGTTGATTAAGGGTTACTGTGCAAAGGAGAGCTCACTATTCATCTTCTCTGAAATCCACATGTCCAAGTAAGTGTTATTGAGGGTTCACAAATCTGCATAGAGGTGTTTTGTTGTTGTTGTGGGTTTGTTGTTTTTTTAAGAGCCAAAGAAAAAAAGTAAATAATGAGGTGAGCTACAGCACACTCCAGATGGCCCCTTCTTCTGCAATTCTTCCTCTCCCTGAACCCAGAAAATTATCAGGACTGTAATCTTTTTTTTTTTCTTTTTTTTTTTTTCCCTAAAATCTTGTCACTTCTAGCACATGCTCCAGTATCCATGCCATTTGACCTGTCATTTCATCTGGTTTGGAGCATATGAATAGCACTTAACTGAATGCAAAGAAGTATTGGAGCTGACATGGGAGCCACACTGACAGCAATCAGGAACTGTCAATGGCTACTATTACATTGTTTGGAAAAAAAAAAAAAAGTTGTGGTTGTTTATAACAATTTTATCTTTCATTATAGATCAAAGTAAAAAAGACATGAATGCAAAACTCTGCATTTTGCCTTGTATACATAGATGTCCTTAGCACACACACAAAAAAAAAAGCAAAAATATTCAGAATATTACAAAAATGTTCGTGCATATTACAAAATTTTCCAAGCATTCAATTTCTAAAGAACACCAACATGAAGTGAAATGAAACTGCTCTCAAACATGCTGGGTCTTGAGGAAGAGGCATCTTTTGATGGAAATATATCCTGCAGAAATGTTTGCAGTCCAGTATAGAAAACTGAAATAGATATCAGATAATAGGCTAATGGATAAGCAATACTGAATACCCTCCAGAGTGTTTTTGAAAGTCACTGTGACATCTCCAAGGACAGACTACAAAGATCAATTGCTTTGTGTGCACCATTTCGTAAGCATGAAAGCCCATAGTCTACAGCACTAAAAGGAATGTACCTGACAGTACTATTTCTGATACATTAGAACTGCAGCACAATTCAGATCTTGAGAAATATACAATGTCTTTTTGGTACCTATCTAAAGAAAAGTTAGAGTGATAAAATAGATGTTCTAACTTTGTGGCCATCAGGCAACATATTAGAAAAAAGACCAAAATATCTACATATTTTTTTAAATACGTAGATGTGTTTTTAAATATCTATGCATAAATATCTACCCGTACCTCTTTGTTTTGTACTGATGATGAAGTGGGATTTAAACACAAAGGCAGTCTGTCCTTCCATCACTGATAAGTGGGCTTTTGCATAGAACTCCTCACTGTTAATTACAGCTCTACCCTTAAAGATATAAGCCCATTCTAAGAATGAAGCTCTTGACTGAGGAAGGTTTAAAACAGAAGCATTGAAAGAGCAAATAGAGTCAAAACTTGGTCACAAGTTAAGAGCATGTCAGTGTTTCAAACACTGGATAGAGTGTTCTTGAGCTGTTCAATTTGCATTGAAGTCATATCCCTCCCCCAAAAAAAGGAGTATGAGTAAATACTATTCCACAGAATCACAGAATGGCCAAGGTTGGAAGGGACCTCTGAAGATCATCTAGTCCAGACCCTGCTGAGCTGGATCACCTAGAGCACCTTGTGCAGGATGGCATCCAGGCGGGGTTTGAATATCTCCAGAGAAGGAGACTCCACAACCTCTCTGGGCAACCTGCTCCAGTGCTCTGTCACCCTCACAGTAAGGCAGTGCCCCCTCATATTCAGCCGGAACCTCCTGTGCTTCGGTTTGTGCCCATTGCCTCTCATCCTCATTTATTTATGCATAAATAAATCAGATTGGCTTGAAGATTCACAACAAATACATTTCCCATGCTTTTTACATATCATCATGAATTGACATGATTTACTTGTAGGATTTGCTCCTGTGCTATTTGTCACCTGTACTCCTTTATGAAGTCAACATTTTCTTGCTAAAATACACGGTTGCCAGGGCCAAGAATATGAAGATTTGTTCTATTGTACAAATGAAGAAGACATGGGTTCTTCTTCATTTAGATTCTTATTTTTCCACCACTCTGCATAGCTAATTGCACCTTATTCTATCCCTACTATAAAATCAAAATGTAATAATGTTTTCTCACCACTGGAATGTTCTTTGAGTTCCATAGAGGTATATATAATTTTAATCATTTAATCATTTAATCATTAATATAAATTTAATCAAGCACTTTGACCACCTTTTTGCTGGTAGTGACTACTGCAGTAAGATCTTTACCATTAATATGTTGCATGCGTCAAGACTAAGGCTTCTATACACAACTTCAGTGCACATGGTATAACAACTGTAAATTAAGATGCACATGAACTAATAGTGGCTTCTTTTATCAACGTCAGAATCAACTGAGCCCAGAAATGGGTGCAACACTGTTCATCATTCAAATGAAACTTGTTGGCTCATTCTGTAAATGTCATAAGAAAATTCTTTTTTCATTTTCCTTACTTTCTTAGCTCTAGAAAAGATGACAAGCCCTTAGGACAACTTATGTACAACAGCATTTGTGTGCACCATTCTGCTAACATCATTGTTAAAGCTCAGATGATGTTCATGTTCACATGCATTCATAATGGTTATAGTCATTGGTAAAATTTTGCTTTGCTTTTTCTTTTTTTCTACTTACAGAAGAAAAAAGAGCTATTCCAAAGTTTTAAAAATGAACTTGCTAATATAGATATAAATCACAGGTTAATGACTTCATCACATAAGTGAGGTCAATGTCTGTTCCACCTTGGTCAATGTCTGTTCTATCCTCTGAGATCGAAGACATACTTGGTCTCTTTCTCATAGGGTAAAACTCAAAGAGGTGAAAGAGGAAACACGAAGCCATGGCTTTATTTTGTCTTTGTCAGAACAATGCCTGCAATAGGAAATTATTCTGCTAACCTCTTCAGGCAAGAGTGACCATTGTTATCAACTTATCTGACCTTCAGTTCAATGAAAGTTGTTGCAGGCAACTTCATTTCTGTTATTGTTGATTTCTTCATCCAAACCAGAAACCCGGGCTGAGCTGCAGCAGAGCCACCTCAAGGCTATCCTCAAAATTAGGTACAATGCACTACTGAAGTGACTCTGGCAAGTTAATGGGAGTGAGAAATTACTAGAGGCCCCAGGAAGTAGAAAGATCAGTGGACAGCTGGAAAGCTCTGGACAGGAAGAAAGGACCAGACACAGTCAGCAGAGGTTCCAGGTTGAGAGGAAGAGCAGTGGACAAAGATTGTTGAGTCTTTAAAGTGCAAAAGGTAAGAAAATATTAAGGCACGGCCCACCCTCCATCTGTCTCCAGACTAGCTCCTAGACTGATCTGGTACACCCCCCCCCATTCTACCCCACTCCAAGGACTTTTTTCTCTTTACCCAGTCCCATGGAGAAACACCATCTGCAAAGACATGTAGTTCCTCCCACACTTCTCTTTCCTACACACACACCAAAAGCCCAAGTATTAAATAATATAATCAACAGGATTTGGTGTCTGTTAGCTAAGCAGGTATAGTGTGGCTGCATTTTTCAGAGAACATACGCAATAAAGATACGATTGCTTTTATATCTGACATCCAAAATACATCCAAGGTTCAGGATAGACTGATTCTAGTAGATGAAATCACTGAAACCAGGCTCCTTCTATTGCATGTAACTACTTTCATGTAAAGCCTTTCAAAAATTTAACGAAGTCCATCCAAAAAAAAATGAATTTGCTTTTTGCCTTGATTTCTCCTATTCAATCTAGAGCAGGCTTTCATTTCTCTTTCAGCTGTTATAGCAGAAATCACCTTCTACTTTCCAGTATAAATTTATTCATTGACAATTTCTGCCTTATTGTTCAAATACCAACACAGTCTTTCAACTTAAATAGCTCTTATGTCTTGCTAGCTACTCTGCTCCCAGTATTTTTGTAACTATAGGTCTTGCCAATCTTTTGCTGGACTAGAAGAGGCAGGCTCTTCTAGATTCATCTTGTAAATGAGTTTCCATTTACCTGATCATTCTTGCTGCTTTTCCATGCATTCTTCCCACTCTAAGGTAAACTTAGCCAAACTCAGATCACCAAAAAGACCCATGGCATTCCAGATGAGGACTTATAGAATTAACATTTCCCAAGTGGTATAAAAATTTCTCTTTCTAAGACTTTCAAGAAGCGATTTTGCAGCTTCATTACTCTGGTGGCTTAGTAAGTGACATTGATGCTTTGACTCATCTTAGCACTCCCAATCATTCTTTTTTTTATCTTCCCCAAGTGATAAACTTGCTACCAAAATCCATACCACAACTTTAGTTTTTATACTATTTACTATTTTTTCATTTCTTTAAGTCCATAATTCAATCATCTAGTCCTGTGTCCTAATCCACAGGTCTAATGGCATTGTTTAGGTTGCATCATTGCTAAGTCTTATAAATTCAGCCCTACAGCTAATATTTTAAGCATTCCAGGGACTAACCCCTGAAGATCTCTTTTATGAACCTCCCTTCTTTCTCATACTGATCTCTTTTTTACTGACTCTGTATTTTCTCTAGTGACCCTCATCTGCCCATCTTAAGCGGTATTTTTCCACATAGCATGCTAATGGGTTTTATATGAAGCTTTTTGTCTAGTTTCAGGGAAGGCATCATTAAGATCAGCAGAGCTGGAGCAAGAAAGAAGTGACCCAATTTGTTTAAACCTGGTATATCCTGAAGATGGAGACCCTAGAGCCATCAGATCTATAGCCAACCTGCCAGGACTGCAGCAATTTTAACAGATGGCCAAAACAGCAAAAATCTGTAGGAGGGTAGAGTTTGTCTCCATGTCTATCTCTGCTACCCTTCTGTTATTATATTATTTAAGACTTGCAATTATATTTCCTTACCATAAAAAACTCTGTCTCCTTGGAAATCACATCTAAGCAAGAGGAAGCTGATGGAAATTAAATAGGGAAGTGGACAAGAATCTAGGAAGGAAATCTGCTTCATTTGATGTGGGGAATCTGGTGATCCCACAAGACCCACACCAGCCTAACTTCTGCCACACATGTGACCGTCAAGGGCACAAAAGAGCCGAGTAGGGAACAGCAGATAGGCACTCACCTTATGGTATGGTAATGGTGCACCTTCCTGAGAGCACCATAGCATATAAGCAGATGATGAGACTGTGGTCCAATTCTGCTTTCAACTGGGATAAATTTCACTTCACTGACGTCAGTGGAGTTATTCCAGAATTGCACCGGTGTAAAAGAGGGCAGCATCTGCTTCCTGAAAATGGATACCATCAAGCTAATTGAAAACAACAGATGCATCAATGAACAGCAAGAGGAGACAGTAATGTTCCACTTTTCTTGTCAAATAACATTTCATTACTCTCCTGAGAATGTATGAGAATAAACCAATATGTGCTCTAAAAGCTAAATCTTCTGTTGGTATAAAATTCTTTACAACCTTTTAGGTGAACGAACCTAGATGTATCTACAACACCTAAAGACATGGCTGCAGATGGCTGCATTTACAGCCCTCTTTTTTGGGCTTGATTCTTCTCTCGCAGTCACTTAAATTAGAAGGAACAGCATTCATAACCTTAAGGATATATCTGCCCAACCTCAGCTAGAGAGCTGAATCAAGACCCCAGTTTTCTTCAAACCAAAAATGGCTACAATCCCAGTGAAATACTTTGGGATTTACTGCACTTTTTGACAAATTTTCTTCCACACCTTTATACCACCAAGTAAACATTTTTATATCCACTTAGTGTTAGTGAATCCAACGAAGGACTTACTGAACTTTTGATTATATTTTGTATGAAGACAAGGTTTCCTATAAGTCTTGTCTAATGAAGAGGCAACACAGCTTCAGTATTTTAGGGTGACCATAGAAGTTGATGAGCATTTTCTGTAAAATTTCCCTCCTGCAAATCTTTTCCTTTCTTATGCTAAGAAAAAAATCTGACACTGGAAAGATTAACCTGCAAATTTGCACTACAGACAACATGGATATTTCCTACAGAGATTTTTTAGCAATGTTTGTGCTTTAGGAAAGTAAAACCTACACTGCTCACAGTTACTTGTTTCCAAAGTGTAAAATCATGCTGTAATATTCAAGCTCTTGTGCCAGCCAGCAAGCCCTGAACAGGCTACCTTGGAGCAAGCTAAAACTCAGACAGTTAGCCAAGATATATAGAATTGATGTGTACTAATAACATATGCTACACTGGAAAACAATGTTACTGCCTGCTGTCCCTGCCTGCTTCCCCAACAAACATTTTCCTGGGTTTATGTCCCTGGCCAGCGTCTTGCCTTATTTAGGATCTGATCTGCAGATCACTGAATTTCACTACCAACTGTCTCTTGTGGCAGCTAAGGACACTCAGCATTCACTGGCAATTGTTCATTTCATCAGAAGATTAAATCTTCTGATCATGCAGACACTTGCTCCCCTCCTTAACTTTATGTGTAAAGCAGATGGCAGCAAATCAGGTATTCTACTATAAGCATGTTGGTAATATGGCTACAAATTTTGTCAGAATGGGATTTGTCTAGAATGCAAGCTCCAAAAATCAAAAATGAAGAACTCAGACTGTGATCTCAGTTACCACAATGTAAATAGAGCTATCTTATGCATACATGGCCACAGCTGAGGGCAGAATCTCATTTAGTCTCAAACCTATCTGTGAATTGGCCTGCATATTTCTACTACTGCATTAAAAATATAATAATAACGATAACGATAACGATAATGATAATGATAATGATAATAATAATAATAATAATAATAATAATAATAATAATAATAATGCCACTCCTCTTATTTTTGCCACTATAAATTTAAAGAGAAGCCTAACTTTTCAGAGTTCACTAGACTTACTTAGACTCAAGTTAGATGAGAGTTTTCAGGTAAGCTGTGGTTAACTTCTGCTGTAATCTGTAGATCTTTCCAGTATAAACAGGACCTCAAGAGAAGAAAAAAAGAAAAAAAGAAAAAAAAAAGTAAGATAAGCATTTTAACATATATTACACATGCTTTGACTTTATGTAGATGATTGAAGTTGGAGACAGATATAAACAAAAGTAGTTGTACTAAATGGAATTTTGCCAACTTGTATCAGCAGATGGCAAGGATCTGGCTCATACTACATTTTGTAGTATATAATTATCTTTCTCTCTTTTTTCATCCAGAACCAGATTCTCCCTTTAGGCTGCAAATCTTAATTAGGAAACCCTTTCTCATTAGTTGCAAGAAACTCATAGTTGTTAATTTCACAGATAAAAAAGAAACCTTACCTACTTCTGCAGGTAAAGCAGAAGCTGGAGCTGTTTGTTCCATTGCTTTTAGGGATGATGCTGTTCTTTCCATCACAGTATGGAAGACTCTTCAGTCCTTACCCTGCCTTTGGCTGCCCTGAATATCCTTTATATTAATTCTTCTGTATCTCCATGGGGATCTCTGTACACTGAATGAGTGGGCCTAACAGAGAACACCAAGTCCAGGCACCTTCACCTCTACAGCTGCTGTAGCAGTGACTTTTATCCATATACTCTGGGTCAGAAGGAACAGGGCCAAAACAGAAAATTGCTCAGAAATCTCAAAATGTGACATTTTCCAAACAGGAACAGAATAAAAATTTCATCTTAGAGGAAAGTGCAGGAATCCTTCAGTAATGTAGACTCTGAAATTCTGCAAAACAACTCTTCCAACTCTTCATGCGATTCACTCATACAGTCCTTCACATAAAGATAAGTTTGGGATAAAAAAGGTGCCCTCAACAAAATTATTCCTTTCCTTCCTTCCTCACTTCCAACAAGAAGATGATTTCTGCCCTGTTCTTAATTGTTGAAATTCTCTGTTGAACTGATTGTCACAAAATACCCAGGGGTTCAGGAGAAAGCAAGTCTCATCCACAGCAAAATCTTTATTTCATAGTGAGATTGTTGAAAAAAAAATGTTTCTGTGGTTTTTAATGCAATGCTCCTTGTCCGTGATTGTTGATTGTCCTTCACACACTCATCTCCTCTCTGTGTGCAAGGATATACAAAGTCCTTTCCCATCTCCTGGTTTGCACTGTCAGTTTTCAAATGCTGATAATGGTCTGCCAGTTCGGAGTTGGACAGGGCAGTTGTACATGATATAAAGTGATGGAATCTTCAGTAAGCAAGGAAAAATGCTGTAAAGATAGTGCACTAATATCTGAGAACTGAAAGTATTCAACGAGTGCTTTTGCTTTTAGCCAAAGTCACAGGGTAGAGAAACAGTCTGGGAGGTTGTTATGGAAACAAGTCCCTGGAGATGCCTACTTTACTTTGCAAGGATGTGCTCTGCCTTAAGAACGAAATATCTAGACAGACAGACAGAACTGCATTTCAAACATCCAGGAGTGAGTGTTAACAGCTGAGGACTTGAGGGAAGATTTCTGAAAGCATCTGTGATTTGCCAGCATGAGCCATCTATAAAGTCAGTGGCATGGGTGCCATTATGTCACCACTATGTCACTTAACTCACTTGAAGAAATTCTGAAAGCTGCTTAATAAAAATGATGAATGCCAGAAGTAGTATAATATATAGTATTGTTGATGACTGTGGGACTACACTATACTGTCTTTTAGGAGATGCTTAGAAAAGGATTTACATGCCTGAATGAAACCACCTAGGTTAGACCTGTGCGGTGTCAAGAGTTGGACTTGATGATCCTTAAGGGTCCCTTCCAACTCAGGATATTCTATGATTCTATGATTCTATGAGGTTACCTTTCCAAGCTTCTGTTTCCTTTTGAATTTCTCTTAGCTCTAACATAGAACATCCAGGGAGCAACCACCAGTCCTATTTCACAAATTTTCATTTGCACATTCTTTCCAGAACTGGAAAATATGTAACTCAAAAGCTGTACAAAAAATTGTGTGTTTGCAGCAAATTTAATTTGCACCAGTGGAGACTGCCCAAAGCCACAGCACTCCAGCTAGAAACTCACTTTTGAATTTCACCTCAAAGCAGAAACTCTCTTCACCTCTCAACATGAGCTCTCTGCAAGACATGCTGGGATTATGTTACTGGTAATTTGCCTCACATCTTTTTTTGTTGGAGCCTCCATGTCCAGCCATTTGTCACACTGGCCAGGAGAACAACCTGTTCTTAGGAGGGATGGCTCCTGCCTGGCAGGGCCACTGGGGTCAGGCCCAAGGGAGAGAATGAGCACAGGAATTTTCTGACGTAGGCTCAGTGTGGCTTGTGCTTAACCTGAGTTTTTTATATCTTACTTTGGGAAAACTTATATCGGCTGATACACTCAGGCATAAAATAGTACCAAACATGGACTACTAGGAGACTGCAACAGCCTTGACACATCCCTCTTAAATAGCAGGTTACTCTGCTAGTTTAGTGCATCTGCTACAGCAACATAAAATTTGAAGTTACTCCCTTTTACTCTGAAAAATATTTCATTATAGTGAACCTGATATACAGATAAGAACAACACCATTTTATGGAATTAACTCAGAGACCAAGACAACTTTTTACACAAAATCCTACCTTGCAGACCCTTCCTCAGTCCTACTTATTACTTACCCACCACTTACATGCTTCAGGGGATGCAGAATGACTCCCAAGACCCAGACCTTCACAGACATTTGCCTCAGTCCCAAAGAACCAAAGAGTAATTAGGCACTTACGTACCTTTGTGGAGACTGTCCTGAAAGACACATTCTGCTCTTTTTTTCAGGCAAGCTCCTCTGAGCTACAGAGCCCTCACCACACAACACTTGCATCTCCCAGACTGACCTGCAGTAACCGAGACAAGTAGCATTTTGCTACCGACTTCAGCAAGAGAGAGAACAGAGTTTTCAATATAATGGCTGTGCTCTGACCCCAGGGGAGATCCCTGTACACTAAAACCCTTTGAGAAGACAATGGGACTCTGGAGAAATGCAGCAGTTAGGTCTCACACAAACAACTGCTACCATATGATCAGGACCCAGATGAGGAGAGGCCACAATAAAAGCTCTCTAAGCATGGAGCCAGATCTCAAGACAATGAAAAACAAGCAGAGTAACAAAGATGCAAATAGATACCATCTCACAACCCTGACAGTTCTGACTATATTAAAGGATATGTCTTTAGCATTCTCAGCCTTATGATTGAAAAGCATAATATATACATTTGCATAAAATGTACTCTATAGATTTTGCATCTTGATATTACGTGTTTTACGTATTACACATGTCACATGCAATATGTAGTACATTCTAATATGTAAATCATACAGTATGATGCAAGGCATTAATGGCTGCCTTTGCTTTCATACACATGCACACATGTGAATACAGAATATACATTTATATTTAAAAACAAACAAAAACATTTTCTCGCATAAAAAATCATCCATAGAATCTAAAAGCATCCATTTCCCCTTCTCACACACTGGCAGCATTTGAAACATTTTAAAGTTGGGTATAAGACACCAGCTGATTAAAAAAAAAAAAAAAGAGAGAGACTGAAAGAGAAAGAAAGAAAGACCAAAAAAGACCAAAAGACTGAAAGACTGAAAGATAGATGGAAGGAAGGAAGGAAGGAAGGAAGGAAGGAAGGAATTAAGGAAGGAAGGAAGGAAGGAAGGAAGGAAGGAGGGAGGGAGTGGAGGGAGGGAGGTAGTGAGGAGAGGGAGGAGTTTTTTTCTTTTTTCTCCTTCTCTTTTCCTGCCTGTTCCTTTTCTCCGTCCCCTTTTACTTCCTCCCTCTCTCCCTCTCTCTCCCTTCTCTCCCCTCTCCCTCGCTTTCTCTCTCTCTCTCTCCCTCCGCCCTCCCCCCCGCCTCCCTCCCTCGCCCCCCCCAATCCCTCATCATCCTCCCCTCCCTCCCCCCTCCCTCCCCCAGACTCCCCCCTCCCTCCGCCCCGCCCCCCTCCCTCCTCCCTCCCTCCCTCCCTCCCTCACCTCACTCCCGAAGAGAAAGAAAGAAAGAAAGAAAGAAAAAGAAATTACTTGGGAAGCAAAACATGCATCTTAAGATGCAAATCTCTGGTCCCTTGACAAGCCCAGCACTGTGGGACAGTGTATGCATTTTGCAATGCTACTTACTATAAGTTGCTCTCATAAAACCTAGTGCATGCAAAAGACATTTCTCTGTCTTTTGTTTAAAAAATATACAGAACTGGCTGAATCAGTAAAAAAAAGCAAAAATATTTCTTCAAGGTTAGCTCTTTTTCCTCTCATTTGAAAGATCTGGGGTACTGAGATTGTGCAGATGGCTTGGGCAAACTTGCATCAGTGCCAGTCTAAATCTCTAATGTCGACACACTTACCCTGCGGTAATTTGTGACTGTGACCCACTATATCAGTGCAATCTTCAGATAGCACAGGTGGTTGGGGTTTTTCAGCAATGCCAACAAAATACCAACATACAAACTTCCCTCAACTATAGAAACACTTCAATAAAAATGCAGCAATGTCAATTGCTTTCACATGCCTGAATACAGAACTGGATATCTGAAGCATAAAGTACATCTCATTAAACACTATTGTGTGGAGATAAACTGCGGAGATAACAAATGAATTCTCTCAAATGTGCCTAGCATCAGAAGGCACTTAGCACTATGAAGATTAACTTGGTACTATAAAAGCCAATTAACATCAGGGCACTGGAACAAATAAGGCTGAAATAATCTCACAACACAGAGATACTTCAACAAGCCTGTTGATTTCTTTATGCCCATTTTTGATAATCGGTATATGGTCAGGAGTGGCAAAGAGCTTTTAGATCTATGCACCTTTTTTGAAACATAAACCAAGAGGGTCTTCAGCATGCCAAGTGTTGCAAAGAAGAAAGGCATCTGTTTGTTGACTTTTTCCTTACAGCTACAGAACTCACTGTGATGCTGGCTACAGCATTTCCATTATTCAAAGGCAATGGCATGGCAGGCGTGACTGATCCCACAGCCAAGGGCACTGCACTGGCACAGGAACGAAGGGCACAGCTTGAGCCAGATGTTTGTAGCCCCTTTAACTATTTACTCCCTGTTGAATCCTTCAGCTGAAGTTGTGTCAAGGGTTTCTTTGCTAGCAGAGTAGAAAGGTTAGGCATCAGAGCTAATATTGGATTACAGCAGTCTCCAAAAAAAAAAGGAAAAGACATTCATGAGGGAGTGGGGATGACAGCTAGCACTCCACAGAATAAAGCAAGAACATTTCTGACTGCACACAGTAATGAGAAACAGCAAATCAGCAGAGAAGAGCCCATTATCACAATCACTCTGTTTACGGTATCACAATTCACAGTCTGGTATGTAAATGCTGAATAGATCCAGCTGCTAGTGGGAAGACGGCTGTGCAGCAGCTTGCAGCTCTGTCTGGACCCATGACAACAAAACCGATCACACCTCTGTCAGCATTTTCTTCTCTTTAAAACCCTGGTTGTTGGGGGGAATGAAGTTGGAATATTTCATGGACTCCAGGTCTTCTGCTTCCAGGAATTCAGATTTGCTGAGAGACTGATTACTGTCCCCCTTCTTGGGCTCAGAGAAGGGTGACTGCTGCTGGCCACAGGTGACATGGGTATACTGGCACTGCTCTTCATGATCAGTCTCTCGGTGGTAGAAGTAGTTGAAGTTGGACACGATGACAGGGACAGGCAGGGCAATGGTGAGCACACCAGCAATGGCACACAAGGAGCCCACAATCTTGCCACCAATTGTCATAGGATACATGTCCCCATAGCCCACAGTGGTCATGGACACCACTGCCCACCAAAAAGCATCAGGAATGCTGGTGAACAGGGAATCGGGGTCATCGGTCTCTGCAAAGTAGACAGCACTGGAGAAGAGGATCACCCCAATGAAGAGGAAGAAGATGAGGAGGCCCAGCTCCCTCATGCTGGCCTGGAGAGTCTTCCCCAGGATCTGCAGCCCCTTGGAGTGCCTGGAGAGCTTGAAGATCCTAAAGACTCTGACCAGGCGGATGACTCTGAGGATGGCCAAGGACATGGCTTGCTGCTGGCCCCCGTTGTTGCTGCTGCTCCCAGGCTGCTGCTTCTGCTGCTGCTGCTGGGCCAGCTCCGTGCCCAGGGTGATGAAGTAGGGGATGATGGCCACGATGTCTATGATGTTCATGATGTTGCGGGAGAACTCAGGCTTGCTGGGGCAGGCAAAGAAGCGCACGAGGAGCTCAAAGGAAAACCAGATGATGCACAGGGTCTCGATGAGGAAGAAGGGGTCAGTGAAGAAAGGGCCCGCACCGGTGGCAGGTCGCAGGGGTTGTGGGGTCCCACTCGGTGGCGGCGGTGGTGGCAGCAGCAGCGTGTCATCCCCAGGCACTGCTGCCTCCCCGAAACCAGGCTGGGAGCCCTTGGGCTCCTGGCGGAACTCAGGCAGGGTCTCCAGGCAGAAGATTACGATGGAAATGAGGATCACCAGCACGGAGACGATGGCGATGGCCCGGGCTGGCCCAGAGCTCTCAGGGTACTCAAAGAGCAGCCAGACCTGGCGCTGGAAGTGGTGCTGGGGCAGGGGCTTCTCCTCCTCTTGAATGAAGCCCTCGTCCTCCCGGAAGGTCTCGATGGCCTCCTGGCCCAGCTGGTAGAAGCGGATCTCCTCCAGGAAGATGTCGAGGGGTACGTGGACCGGCCTCCGGAGCCTCCCCCCGGACTGGTAGTAGTAGAGGATAGCATCGAAGCTGGGCCGGTTGCGGTCGAAGAAGTACTCGTTGCGGAGCGGGTCGAAGTAGCGCACCCTGCGGCTGGGGTCCCCCAGCAGCGTGTCGGGGAAGATGGAGAGGGTCCGCAGCTGGGTCTCGAAGCGCAGCCCGGAGATGTTGATCACCAGCCGCTCGCTGCTGCAGCAGCCGCCGCCGCTCCGCTCCTCGCCCGCCGCCTCCGCCTCGCCGCCGCCCGCCCGCGGGGCCGCCAGCGCCAGCGGCTCCTCCGCCCGCATGCCGCCCGCTCCCTGCCCGTGCCCGTGCCCGTGCCCGTGCCCGTGCCCGTGCCCGTGCCCGTGCCCGTGCTCGTGCCCGTGCCCGTGCTCGTGCCCGTGCCCGCTCCCCGCCGCCTCCCCTTCACCGCCCGGGAGGAGCCGCCCCGCCTGTTGCGCCTCGGCGCGCTCGCACGGCGGCTCCGCGGGGCTGCCGGAGCGCCGCAGCTCCTTCTCCGGTCCCGGCCACGGTCCCGGCCACGGTCACGGTCCCGGTCACGGTCACTGTCACGGCCACGGGCACGGCGTGCTCTGCTGCACGGCACGCCCGGCTCTGCCCTCCCCGCTGCGCGCACACGCAGGCGCGCACATACACACACAGACCCCGCCGGTTACACGGTGCAGGGAGGGACAGACGGACACGCGGGGACAGACAGAGGCACTCAGGGACACGCACGCCGGCACCCACACGCCTAGGTACGGAGAGATGCTGCAGCCCCAGCCCGGGGCGGAGGGAAGGGGGGCGGCCCTGGGGTCCCCACGCGTGTAACCAGCTGCAGGGGGCTGCTCCCCGGCCGGGCGCTTTGCAGCAGCTCGCCTAAGCGGTGGCACCCCCCGGCTCTTCTTCCTCCCCACCCATCCACCGTCAAAACCTGCCCCTGCCCCTGCAGGCAGACCCCCGACGAGGACTGGACACCGCTAGCTCCGACCAGTGCCCCGATGCTGGAGCCAGGAGCCCTCGGTGCTGTGCCTGCTCCCGCTGCGGGCTCTCCAGCTGACCTTGAGCGAGGCGCTCCGTGCCTGTGGCTCGTAGACCTCCGTTTATAAATGCCACTGCCAGGATGCAAGCACGGCAGTGGCATCTGGCCGCTCACAGATGGAGGCAACCTGTCACACACTGAACTGCAGCTGGGGAAAAACACAGGTAAATACACTTTCTGATTTGGAGTGCGTAGGATTTGTCCCTTCTCCAGGTATCAAACAGTTGAGCTTGCTCTTTGTTTGTTTACCACCACACATTACCCAATCTCCCTGGGAGACAACACTACATTTTGTAGGCAATTAGACTTCCAGTCCTTTTGCCTTCAGAAACCTGTTGCTCAATCCATGTCATGCGTGGGATCTGAAAGCATAAAGAAACTTATGACAGTCCTCTTTGTCCTTCTGAAAATAGGGCTAACAGGTAAGGCTGCATCCATCATTCCCAGAACAAAAGTCTGTCTTTCCCTTGAAAGCCTTTTGTCAGTGCTAAATATTATTAATGAGGCTTTTCTCATCATAGTATCTGATGCCTTTGCTGGCTGCAAGCCATATGCTTAGCCTACACTATCTTAGCAGCACAGAACTAGAAGCAAAATATTTCCCTTTTTACCCCTCCTCCCAAATCCTCTATAACTAGCTGGTAATATTCAGTTACTTCAGGCTTGGACATTTTGACCAGCTGAAGGTGTCTTGTTTGGCTCTGTCCTCAAGAATGAGGTGAATATAATCTAAACATTGCTTAATCCTTTTTCCTTTCCCTCTGAATAGCATTGAAGATGGCTGTTGCAAAAGGAAGCATATTTTTTCATTTATATGAAAATGGCTGACACACAAGGAAGCATATTTTTCTTTCATATTGTACACAATTAGGGTATAGCAAGCAGATGAAAAATACTTTGATGGAGAATATACTTTCTAAAAAAAATGAATCAATATTTACCTTTATAATAGTAGAATTCTTCTTGCTGGGATTCGTTTTCAATTATTACAATGAATAATTCATTCATAGGATTATTTGAATAATTATTATGATTTATTCATTCACGTGGTTAGCTATTGAGATATTTTTTTAAACAGCTTTTGGGAGGGATGGAAAAAAATCCTGAGGTTTATAAGAGGATACAAGGCATGCCTAGATTGCAATCACTGCTGTGATTCAGCTCACCACATACTAGGTTTAAACCAGAGAGCTTCAAGCAGCACAGGAGAGACAGTGTGGAGCTCTGCAACGGTTTGCAGGACAATTTGCCATCCCAGGCAGGCATCTCATGCTGCCACAGCTCTGGTCTTCACACTACCTTGAGCTAGCGGTGTTGCAGATAGCTCAGGTGCCTCCACATGAGCTGCAGTCCCATCCAGCCATGTCTACTCAGCTGCTACCACAGTCCATCTTAGAGCAGGCACCCAGCCTGTCTGCACTCACTCCTGGAAGCCCTTAGGAAGTCCCTCTATTCCCTTCCTTCTGAGTACTTAGGCTGCCCCTCAGACTCAGTATCAGCCCCATAAGCTTTTGCAACATGCAACTAAACTCTTTTTAGCACACAGCCTGTTCCCGAACTGATCAGCACCACACTGCCTGTGCAGCCACACCCCTCACTTCTATATTAAGATCCTATGCCGGCTGCCACTGTTCAGCCTCCGTGAGGGATCTTGCTGGGCCAGCATCTTGCAGTGGTATACAATTTGCTGAAGAAGTACAGCAAGAGAGATCCAGCGATGTCAAGGAGGAGGACATGATGCAAACCCCACAACAGTACTCCAAAATGCAACACAGCAATACCGTAACACACTCCAAAGGGTGATTTGGCTGCTAGGTCTGGGGCCAAAACCTCAAGATCAGTGCCAGCTAAAGGTGCCACTAAACATGTCTCTGAGGTGGTGGCCATGTTCACCCCTCTTAGCTCAGCTATGATAGGTTGCTACAGTTCAAGAGTTAAGGATGATTGCAACCCCCCAGGATGTATCAATCAGTGATCCCAAAGTGCACAAAAAAATCTCCATAAATCCATGAGAAAAGAAAAAATTGCTGCTGGTTCTAGCATAGCAAGACACCTGATTCTGAGCCCTCATCACAGTCGAGAAGCTGGAAGGGCATTGCTGCCTGGAGACTGGCTCTGTAGCACAGCAGTAGAGCTTCAACAAGTAAATTGGTTGCTTGGATGTCTTACACACCCCTGAACATGGTTCAGCATTTTGGGTAACCCTCTGAAATCCCTTTGGATCCCTTTCAGTGGATTTGAAGTCCTCAGCACTGTAGCTGCCACAGAATTATGGGTACGTACCATTTTCTCAGCAAAGACAAATTCAGAGTTCCTCAAGGTAAGTTCTCCAAAACCGAGATATCCTAAATGGGTATCTAGATTTGTGTCTCGCATATGCAGAACTTCTCCATTTCTTTTCTTTCTGTGTTTCCCAGTCATTCCTTCTTCTCCTGAAGCTTCTGGTTTTCTCTTCCATGGCTTCTGTGCTACCCCTATCTTCTGCTTCCCTGACTCCCTGACTTCCCTGAATGTCATCTTTTCCCACATTCATGTACTTTTCCTGGTTATGAAGTATCTCTTCCCTCTGACCCTACCAGTTTCTTCACTTTTTTATATATTTTCACTTATTTTATAATTTTCATATCCATTTTGCAAAAATCCTGCTGGAACTGAACCCTGCCCAGTAAGCACTACAGATGGTGGCTGACTGCCTGACTCACTAGAAGAACTGAGTGACCAGAAGAATAACAACCTACTTCTAGAAACACTATAACACAGACCTTAAAATGGTGTTCGTAACAGCAAATTGCATGGCCAGCAATATTGTTTAGCCTGTTCCCTAGCATGGTATTAGCCTGGAACTACTAAAACCGTCCATAAAAGTCCTGAGAGCAGTTAAGAAAGTTAATGTGGGCCAGAGACTACCCCAGCAAGGAGTTCAACTGTTCACCTTTATATTTGAGGTGGATTGTTTATCAAGTGTTTGGCTCTGTGGACATGAACAAGGATGAGGGAAGAACTGCATCAGTCCAAAATGATACTCTTTTCATCTGATAGAACACTAGGTACACTTAAAAAAGATGAGCAACTTCACTGACTACAAGAAATGAAACATTGGCTTTTGTATCCACATTACACTGTGAACTGGAAGAAATTATGAGGAATTCTCAGTTCATACATCTGCAGATCTCAAAGTATCTGAAGGCAACAAGGTAAACAGAGTCCAGGCGTTTAACAATACCCTCATCATGTATCAGTCATGTTGCTGTTTCTACAACTGCCACAATGGACAGTGATCAGACTTCAATTTTTCCCACAATGGAAGCAACCTCAACTACTCTGTGACAGTGCATCTATCCCAGATCCCTGAGGTGCTGTCACCTTTAATTCATCCTTTTAAGTTCCCTCCTTCCCCCAGCAGTTACACATATGAAGAAAAAATAATGAATGAATAAATAAATAAATAAAACAGAAAACTCAGTGGATATGTTATATGGATATTACATCAGCCATAGCACAGTGAATACACATGCATGCACATATATGCATTCACACGTGCACATTTGAATGAACTTTTCCTGTAAGATTACGGTTGTAATTGCATATCAAAAAGCTATGTAGTTTCCAGTGCTCTTATATTTACAACATGCAACAGCGGTGTCTTCACCCTGATGGACAGCTAAGTGCTCTCACTCCCCCTTCTCTTTGGAACAGGCGGAGAAAATATGATGGAAAAGGGCTCAAGGGTTGAGGTAAGGCCAGAGAGATCATTCATCAATTATTGTCGTGGGCAAAACAGGCTCATCATAGGGAGAGTAATATAATTTATAGCCTATTAATAACAGACTAAAGCAGTGAGAAATTAAAAGCAAACTCAAAACACCTTCTTCCCAACCACCCTCTTCTACATCCTCCCCTCAAGCGGCACAGGGGAATGTGGGCTGTGGTCAAGCCCTAACGCTTTGTCTCTGCTGCTACCTCATGGTCCCTCTCTGCCCCTGCTCCACGTGGGGTCCCTCCCACGGGATGCTGTCATTCCCGAACTCAGCCTTCGGGGGCTGCCCACAGGCAGCAGCTCTTCAAGCACTGCTCCCACATGGCTCCGTACCACGGGGTCCATCCATCCCCCAGGAGCAAAGTGCTCCAACACGGGTCCCCCACGGGTGGGCAGCAGCTCCTGCGTGGGCTCCTCTCCACAGGCTGCAGCTCCGGATGAGGACCTGCTCCTGCAGGGGCTCTCCATGGGCCGCAGCCTCCTCCAGGCCACATCCACCTGCTTCACCACGGGCTCCTCCACGGGCTGCAGCGTAGAGATCTGCTCCATGTGGGACCCATGGGCTGCAGGGGGACAGCCTGCTCCACCAAGGGCCTCTCCATGGGCTGCAGGGGAACTTATGCTGCCTTGTGCCTGGAGCACCTCCTGCCCTCCTGCTGCACTCACCTTGGGGTCTGCAGGGCTGGTTCTCACTCATCACTCTTCCAGCAACTGTTGTAAAGCAGATTTCTTCCCTTCCTTAAGTCTGCTCTCCCAGAGGTGCAACGAGCATTGCTCGTTGGCTCAGCTCTGGCCAGCAGCTCGTCCCTTTTGGAACTGGCTGGAACTGTCTTTGACCTGACATGGCAGCTTCTGTACCCTTCTCATAGAGACTACCCTAGCTACCACCCCACTACTAAACATTGCCCCATAAATCGAATACAATACAGGCTGTCTTTATACTACACTTTGAATAGAATGCCTATGCCATCATTAAGTGAGGAAGGAAGAAGTACACTTCCACAATAAGCTGGAGGTGATAGCCTCATTCACTACATCAGCAATATTCCTGGAGCGCTATCTTTTCTGTACCTTCAATGAGGATAGGTTCTAGTATTGGGAAAAATATGCCACCATGTAACTAAAAAGCACGTCACAATCCTGGAATAGAGGGAGAAGTGGAAGGGAAACAAGGTTGCATCAGAAACTTTTGTGCAAGCACTTCCTAGCTTTCAAGTACTTACTCCTGATAACCTTAAAAGTGTTGTTAAAGTTGTGCTTATCTTGGGCTTTCAAAAAACTAAAATTTAAAAGAAAATCCCCAAACTTGTCCCACAGATGAGTAACGTTTAAACATGAGCTATTTCTAAATAAGCAAGTATATTCCATGAAAACACTTTTTTTTAATAGCCTTTCAGAAATACCTTAGAATTATTACAGGAACTGCCAGGCAATATTTATTACAAGTTAAAAAACACGCTGGCCTGTCAGACGGCCATGGTATTTAGGCTCACAACACAACCCTATGTCATGTGAATGAGTGAAACAGAAGGTAACAACAGCATGCAGACCTATCACCAGAAAACAAAAACAAAGAAACAACAACAAAAAAACATACATACATACATACATACATACATACATATATATATATATATATATATAAAGTGGGGGTTTCATAGCTGTTTGATAGACAGCTTAGAATTATTGCGATGTGTTGTCCAAATTCAGGTTCTGCAATGTCAGAGATGCAGCTCCTTTGAGATGTCTGTTCACCCTTCAGCTTGACTTTGTCTTCTTTTGGTTCTGTTCAGCTTCTTTTGTTTCTGGATTCCATCATCCAATTTCATTCTCTTAATTTATTTATATATTCTAGTCCCTGAGCTGGCCCCAAATGTTTACCCTGCCATCCTGTACCTTGGCTCTTCCCCATGCTCATTCCTTCTGTTCCCATCTTCTATTATTTCTCCCAGTCCTTTCAGTTCATTGCTCTTATCCTATCTCATTTTCTAGTTCATCCTTCCTAAACATTATATTTAAATTTGGTTCAGTTCCTCAAATTCCAAGTATTTCAACAGATGTTCTTTCCCATGCAGGAGAATGACTTTATTTGCAAAAGAAGCAATCCTTTAAAATCATGCTGTGGTATTTGCTACATTGCTTGCCAATGTAGCAAAGCTCAAGACACAGCTTTGGAGAGGGCCAGCCTGGGCTTTGTATCTGATAAGGATGGGGAAAACGTAGGAACAGGAGGATTTAGGTTATCTGAGAATATTTGAGGAGGGCCTGTGTTTTGTGTTCCTTAACACAAAACCTGTTAAGGAACATTTAGGGGAAGGGGTTCAGGCAGAAACAAAAGAGTGAATAGATGCTGTATAACAACACAGGGAACACATAAGCTGTTGACAGTCAGTGTGCTCATCTGATTGAGCCTGGTAGCTTGACTTGCCTTCTTCTGCAAAGCCTGCCTCAGCTACCTCTTACAGCTCTCACCACCACCTGTGTGTGAGTGCTGTAAGGACGAGGTGCCACCAACTGGGAGCTGCGTGAGTTGGTTTGGTGCCTGCAGCTGGAGCCAGGTCAGGGTGCTGGCATACCAACCTGTGGTGCCAGACTGGGGTGGGCAAGGGTCTCAGTCCTGCCACTGGGTCAGGACAAGTGTGCGCATCCCAAAAAACAGCTTCTGGGGAACTGGGCTGAGTGAGGTGAGGGCAGGGCCCTGTGCTGGCCGTCACCAGTGAACAGCAGTCCTGAGCAGCCAGAGAGGAGGAAAGGGACTTATCTGCCTGTAGTTACATGAAACCTAGCATTGTTACATCTGGGTGTTGCTTAAGGCAGCACCTGTTTTGAGGCAGTCTGTGCAGCTGGCTATGTCAGTGCATCAGTCTCTGGGATGCACACTCAGCCTCACTACTCTTTCAACCTACAAATGTCCATTGACCTGGGATAGAGACCTCTGGGTCTCTGGGGGCTCAGGATTGAGCACCAACATCCAGGAATGAGGAACTTCTTTGTGAGGAGCTTCTGGGTTCTTCAGAGGTCACTTATAGGCCTTAACATATGCATAGATATAGCATCCCTTAACACCCATCAATGGGAGATTAGGGATAGGCAGCAGAATTTCCACTGAGAAAGTCTCTGCAGACACATGCACATTAAGTGTGTTTAAACATTATTTTTGAAAAAAAAAATAGAAAAAGAAAAAAAAAAGCAGCAGCAACATAAACAACTATGGAAACATATTTAACTTTGTTACTCTTTGCATGTTATTATGTGTTACGTGTTGCCTGTATTGTTCAATGTCAGCTCCTTTACTGTATGTTGGCACTGCAAATCATCATTAAAACAGAATGATAAGACATGTTTAAGTGAGGTTTGTGTAGTTCTGATGGGAAGAAAACCCAGGGTAAGCCTTCATCCTGTCCCATCCACTTCCCTACACCAACACACAAACATGGTGCTGTGAGGAATATCCTGGATGCACAAAGCTCTTTCCCGTCATGGTTCCATATGACCCAGTTGTCCACCAAATAATGCATCTGTCCTCATCCCATTGACTGAGAATCCCTCTGTGCATATAAATGCAGTGTCTCTCAAACCCAGATCTGCCCAGGTATGTGGGGCCTCTTCATTATGCTGCCTTTGAGAGGAGGGTCTCTATAAAGGGATGTCTTTCCATTTCTCCCCCAAGGTATTGCTAGGGCAAGTGTAGGCAGTAGACCGACCAGTTGTGCACAAGAGGGGAAGGAGAGACCCTAGAGACACATGGATCTTTCTGCTCACTCTCCCTGTCCATCCCAATTCCACCTGAGAAGGGGAGGGGAAAAAAATGGCTTTTTTTTTTTGCAATATCCCTGCCTAGCTGCTCTTCACAGGGATTTCTCTTCACTCCTGGAATAGAAATTATGGGATTTCTAGAGCTTCTTTGACCAAAATGGGACATGTCACTACCCATGAAGACAAAATTGTCAATACTGTGTTCCTACTCCCATCTCAAGCTCCCTCTGCCGCTCCTTGCATTTCTACACCTGACACACACAGCTTCCAACTTCCCCAGTGTCCTGCCTGCAGGCACTTGGAGCACTTCAGGAACAGCTCTCTGTTCTGCTGCCTGTCATCACATCCATTCTGCACAGACAGGAGCAGCAAGGTCTTAGATAGCACAGCTCCTCCTACTGATGTGAAAACCCTTGGTCTTCTCCATGCAAGGAAATCCTCGGGGATTTTGTGGCAAATCTCTGACAAGTCTCTATGGAAATACACGTCAAAGGAATAGATCTGAGCAGATTTCTTCAAGGATGGCAAAAATGAAATCATAATGTCAGAACAACCTCCCTGGCAAATATTCCATATCTGCTCAAAAAGTAAAAAAGCTTTGCAGTAAAATGAGTGTAATAAATCTTGACAGGCAAAGCAAAACATTTTCCACTAACTTTGTTTCAGCAGCGGCCAAATAATATTTTGTTTGCTTGTTTTAGCAGAAGATTTCTAAATAAAAACAAACAAATTAGCCCCAAGGTAGAAAACCAACATGAAAAAAATGCAATTTGAACGGACTTAAGATTAACAAGAAACCCTCCAGCAGGAGCAGGAAGAGACAGATTCTTCTAAGATAAAAGTAGCATGTGCATGGTGCATACTGACAATATTTTAGAACCTTTTTCACTAAATGTTGACCAAATAAGCACTAAAGCCAATTAAAATTCAACAGAGGAGCCTGAT